CATCCCTGGCCTGCAGCTCACAAGAGCACATGGAAGACACACTCATCCCTGGCCTGCAGCTCACAAATATCAGCGCACGTGTGTTTGCGAAGGGCAGACAAGGACAGATGCCAGGGGTTTCTGTGAATAATGGTGGTGGTCAGATTCTGTGGTGCAGTGCCCATGCAGCACTTTTGAAGACGAGGCGGCGCAGCCTGTGGTTTTAACTCCCAGATGGCAACATTACTTTTCTGCCACTGAGGACAGAAACCTCATGTGCTTTGTCTTCTCCTAGTTTGGCCTGAAGCTACAGCTGAAAATATACTGTAGTTCTTGCCCAGAGTGGGTTTCTTGTCAGCTTTTGTTGGTGACCTGTGCTTGGGGTCCTGCTTCTTACCACAGGTGCAGCACTCTGTTCTTAGCTCCGACACTTTACACAAAGAAGCCAGATCTTTTAGAGCAAGATCATGGTGCACCACAGCACCTGGGCAGAACGGCGCTATCACTGAGCCTGGCACCACTAATATATCGGATTTACAAATGAGCGGCGTTCACATCACAGATAATTTCTTCCTTCTGATGCTGTGCAAAGTAGGGGGGGGGTATCTGTGTTTTCTTGTAAGCCAGTCCTCTTCAGTAACGGCTCTGTGTAGCATTGTCTGCCTTGCAGATCCTCTGCCACATGAAACGGTACGGCACTCTTTGAATGTGCAGTGACTCTGATCCCCCAAGCCCCACCATCTGCTTGTGGAATCAATGGTATTTTAATTGCTCTGTGGTTCCTGCTTTTCTCTGATTAGAGCTTGCAGCCTGTGTCTCAGGGAGCCGTGATCAAGTCGCGGCTTTTACAACTCTGTGCCGTTCTGCCTTTGCCCTACTTAATCACCTCCTAACTTCAGGTAAAGAGCCGAAACTGGTCTGCGTCAGTCTCAGGGAGAAGACGCGTATTCAATACACAGGATGTGGCGAGATCTTTTTTTTTTTTTTACATGCATGTTCAGTGAAGGTGGTATTCATCCGCCTTGCGTCTCGGAATCTATCTATACATCTTGGAGAGGTTGTTGTGCTACACGGGTTTTGGGAAGGGTGTTGTCTTGTTTTCCTGTGCGAGAAACCTCAAGACGCGGTTTTAAAGGTCTCGGCGCGTGTGGCTGGCGCCGCTGTTACGGCACAGAACTGGATGAGAAATGTGAAGTTTGTTTTTCATGTTGGGTTTGCGATGTGGGGCGGTGGGAGTCTTGAATGAGCAGTGTCACCCGTGTGAGCGTGAATCTGTCACTCATCTGTCCAATCCCACAATCCCATGGAGCAGGCTTTGCCTCTTCAGTAGGCAGCATGCCTCTCCTTTACAGTACAAGTGTGCAAGTTCATTGTGTGTGCAGAGGTCAGGATGTCTAGGGAAACAAATGTGTTTTGTTTTTTTTTCCCTCATCGCCAACATGAAATCTGTTGTAGACGAATCTGGAGTATTTAAAAGCTTAGCAATCTCCCTTTCCCAGCCGCACTGAAAACACAGAATAAGTGGTCTGCGGATGGGTCACTCTACAGAGCCTTTGGAGAGAGTGGCTGTATATCTCCGGCAGGTCCGATTTGAGAAAGCACAGGCTTCCCGGCCCACTAGTGCCCTGCAGCTGTTGACGAAGGATTTGACCAGCCTCTGCAAGGTCACAGACATCTCGCGGGAATTTTCAGATGCTGCTAGGATGTCAAGTGCTTGATCCAGGAGTGCTGTGCGGCTTCTTAACGCAGTGTGTGTCTTTCTGCCCCTCTGTGCTCCCGACGGCAGGAAGGAGTTTGTGGAGGGCTGCAAGGCCATCAGGGCGGACAGCCTGGAGGGGATCCACGCGCGCTTCCCCTGCCTGCTGCGCGAGGCCCAGGCGGAGGAGCAGTTCAAGGACCTGTACCGCTTCACCTTCCAGTTCGGGCTGGACTCGGAGGAGGGCCAGCGGTCACTGCACCGCGACATCGCCATCGCGCTCTGGCGGCTGGTCTTCACCCAGAACACGCCTTGCATCCTGGAGCGCTGGCTGGACTTCCTGACGGAGAACCCGTCGGGCGTGAAGGGCATCTCCCGGGACACGTGGAACATGTTCCTCAACTTTACTCAGGTGATCGGGCCCGACCTCGGCAACTACAGCGAGGACGAGGCCTGGCCCAGCCTCTTCGACACCTTCGTGGAGTGGGAGATGGAGAGGAGGAGGAAGGAGGAGAGGAGGAGCGCAGCGGCGCTGGAGCAGCTGGACAGGGGGAGCGAGGGGGGGGGCGCCGACTGAGCCCGTCCGCCTGCAGGAGAGGGGAGAGGGGCCTAGTAAACTCTGGATCTCTGAAAACTCCGATGAAGATTAACGTTATTGTTCCTATTATTATTATTGTTGTTGTTATTATTATTATTATTATTATTATTATTATTATGATTGTTTTTTTTTCCTCTCTTTTATTTTCGAGGGACAGGGGTGGGGTTTTAATCTCTCCAGCACCTGCGTATGCCTTGTGTTTTTCGAAAGGGCTCCAAAAATACTGTATGGTTTTTTTCCCCCCAGGCACTTTTTTTTTAAATTAATTTAATTTCTTTTTTTAATGGGTTTGGTTTTAAAAAAAAATCGGACACGCGCCGCCCCCAACCCCCAACCCCCACACTGGCTCCTCCGTCTCTCCCTCCCGGGTCACTCAGACCCCTCTCGCCGGCCCAGAGTGACCGACGGACCGCCCAGCCTCCTGGCTCCCCTCCGCTCTCGCCCGTCCTGTTCCTCCTGTGTCCGTTCTGGAAAGGGTTTGGTATTCCGGTCACTACAGTGCCAGAGCTCGTGTGTTTTCGGGGGGGCGGGGGGGGCAGTCCTGTACCTGGTGGTATAGTGCCGTTTACAACCCGCCACAGCGGCTCCCGTCTTCTGTTTTTTTGGTTTTGTTTCTTTTTTTTTTTAATATAAAAAAAAAATGCAGTGGTTTATATTAAAAAAAAATAAAACAGTGTTAATCATTTAAAAGCCGTTCCTTGCATAATTAAAAACTGGACCCTGAAACACCACCGGGCCTGTCCACGCCCCCCGTGTTTTTTTTTAAACCTGCCGTGCTGTGAGCTGGGAAGGGGGGTCCCCAGACTTCCTGGCAAATCCCGGGGAGTGGGCTTCAGGCTGGGCACCGCCCTCGTGTCGGGACGGTTGTTCTAGGGATGCATGTCCCTTTTTTTTGTCCGGATCGGGCCGAGCTGAGTGCTGGACCTTGTGCCGCGGGGTGGTGATATCTGGGCTCCTCTGAGCTTGTGGGGGCCCAGTGTGAGGAAGTGGTTCACAAGGACAGCCCGGCCGCAGTGTGCTGGGGGTGAGCGGGTGTTCAGTAAGTGCGGAGGGGTGATGGCTGACTGCCTGTGTTTTCGTGAGATGACTGTACTGTACACACAGTACCAGTACTCGTGCCCACTGTACGGACCGTGTGTGATCTTCATGGCCAGCTGGCCCTCTTCAGCACCTCCTGAACAGCCAGGAGAACCCAAGTGCACTGAGAGGATGGGCCCAGCCAGCACTGCTGCAAGTACACTTGGCCAGAGCTGTGTTGGTGCCCCGACTTCCCTGGCCTGCAGGGTGGCGGTACGGTCAGTGTGGGGGTGCCCCTTGCCAGCGGGGGGGAGCCCGTTGTCCTAGCTGCCTGCAGGGTGCGCCTGGACAGTCCGGGTGGGCAGCTCGGATGGGTGGTCACTCTCCCCTGCACGTCCCTCACGTGTGGCCGCACAGTAAGAACCAGCGAAGGGGGCTGCGAACGGAGGCCCTGTGCTCCGTATGGTCCCCCGGGGAGCCTGCGTGTGTTCAGCGGTGCTCAGCTCCAGGGCCCCAGGGGAGCGCTCGGTGGGGAATTACCCAGCGCACAGCAGGAACGCCGCGGTGCTTCGGCACGTGACAACTGACAGACCGGAGGGCAGCAAGCCAACAGAAAAACGCATCCGCACCGGAGAGGGATGGACTATATATAGGGGGGCGGCTGTCAGAAGGTGAGTGCAGTTTGGTTTTAAATCATCTGGAGGCCAATGCCCATTTGCAGCAGTCATTAACAGCACAGTGTGCACTCCTGGAATGAGTGGCTGTGGCACTCTGGAGAGATCAGGGCAGGTGTGTGAGCCCCGCGCTTGTTTACTGCTGCGCCTGCCCATCTCCTGCGCTGCAGCTGTCTGGTGCCGGTTGAGCGGGCCGCGGGGACACACCTGCAGGAGGTTGTTTTTCTTCTTTCTGAGAAATGAAGGGGAACAAGCGCCGCGGTACACGTCACTGGCGCTAGTCCAGGTGAGCGCTCCAGTTCAGCACACCCGGTGACACCGTGTCCTTGTGTTTGGGTGGAGGAGTGTGAAAATGGCTGAACTGGGAGGTTAGGTCATGTTTGTTAGATGTCAAGTAATAAACCAAGGTTTAAATGAAGAGTTCTCCAATCCGCTTTGATAACCTGGATGGGTGTAACCTTGACTAACGGTTTGTTTCCATTTGCTCCTGCACAGCGCTGAAGAATTGGTACAGGTCCTCTCGGCAGCTTCATTAAACACCGAAGGAGGCTTCAGAGGCTCTACGGTACTTTCCCCTTGACTTGCACAGCGTTTGTAAGAGTGTATTTGCAGAAAAATAAATTAGCCAGTATCAAAAACTTAAATGCCATCAGTGTAGCCCAAGGAGGCTGGCTTTGGTGAAGGGTAGGGACACTAGCTGCTGAGGGACGAAGCACAGGAAAGGTGGGACCACCTTAAAGCCTCTTTATTCTGCTTTTGGATGTTATGTAACCCCACAAATTCTGTTTCCTGGTATCCCTAGATCATGCAAGACAAATTCCTGGATTATCGTGAGAGTAAATGGATTGGTATTTTGACAAACTGTAAGAGGATGTCAGTGCTGATACCCTCAGCTTCAACGCATGTTGTTTTGCACAAAATTGCCAACAAAAAAAGGCAACACAGATCTGTCAGTTTCACGTGTGCCATCATATGATAAGCCTTTAAAATAGGATCTAAAAACAGCTTCCACAGTTGTATAATTTTCATTAAGTCCCATGCTGTTAAATAACTTAAAAGTGCAGTAAAAATGCTTTCCAACAGTAAAATGACCAGAGCTGTCCACTTAAAGACATACAGTCTTAGTGGAAATTCTTTTTTTAGTACATGGTAATGTAATAAATCTATTTTGAGTTTTTTTTTATATAAAAAAACTTGAGTATAAATATTCTAGAAATATCCGTTTTTCACAAGACTCACTGGAGGAGATTCTAGGATCAATCAACTATCTAGCAAGCAAATGAGCTAAATGCTCTGAATGGCCACCTGTTCTTGAGCTGTCTGGTCTGTTTTTCTGCAAGTAGGCTTGGTGTTCAACAGCCCCTGTTGTGCTGCGTAGTTGCCGATATTCGGGGGGGTCATCCTCTGGAGAAGAGATCTGATCGAGGGGAGCCCCCAATCCAGTTCCTCCTCCTCCTAGGGCACCTGATTTTAAAGATTCACCACACCTGTGGGTTATTGATGAGTCAGGAAATCTAGTACTTGAGGATTAGTGAGTTCTTAGATTTTAGTATTGAATTATCTCTATTACAAATCACCTGTTTAATTGATCACTTTAGAATTGATAGATGTTTTTTCATCTCTTATCTTTCTTTAGTTCTTTTTATAATACTTCTTTTCCTCTTTTTTGTGTTTTTGTTTTTGCTCTGTAAAGCATCCCAAACTCTGCTTGGTATACATGGGCACTGGAATAAATCTGTGTCATTGTTCAAGGGAAATTGGAAATGGGTGATTTAACAGTGACCTACAAAACCTGCTGGTGTGGGGCTCCCCAGGACCAGTGTTGGCACCCCAGTGTTGTGGTTTACGCAGTAGAAGGATCTTGGATTTAAATTTTATGCCATTATAGGACATTAAACTTTCCAAGACCTTAATTGCTCAATTAACCCAGGAGCTGAGGACCACTTAAATAATTATGGATTATTAGTGGCCAAGGGTCCAGGTGCCAAGTTGGACCATCACCTGTGACATGCCTATGGAAAACAGCTGAAGCAAAGGATAACTTCAAGAGTAACATGTCAACACACACTGTAACGGAAGTTAATGTACTGTCTGTACTGCCCTCTGGCGGCCAGTATTGAAACGGCAAGCAAAGTTTTGTTTTCTTAATTGGATTCTGCATGTTTCCAACATGCAGCTGGGAAGTGAAGATCCGAATTTGAACACATAACCTTCCAAAGTAATTAAGACAGAGCCCGATCCACCGTCGGCTCCAGATTTAAAATTCTGCTGCTGGTTTTTAATTCCCTGCCAGCGCACATGGCCTTATAATTTGCTGTAAAGGTGAAGTGTTGTGGGTCCCATCTCAGTGACGTCAGCTAGCGGTCTTCACCAAGGGGGCGTGGCGAATCCCGGGTCTCCCTGCAGACTCATTGGTCAGCGCGCCATTGCCAGGGGGCGGGGCGGAGTGGCGATTGGCTAGCGGCTCTCTTGGTTACCAGCATGACAACGCGGACGGGGCTGTGAACGCGTCCCCATTGAAAACACACTTGGAGTCTGTTATCACCTCGTCAAGGCGATGACATGGACTGTAAGTTTGATCTTTTACATTTGGACACGCCGATTTCTGCTCGATCTTTCTCGTTTCTGCGAGAAATGCGAGCCGAGCACGAATGCAGACAGCTGAGCGTGTGTGGTGTGTTTATAAGCTACGTGTAGCTAACGTTTTAAAGAAACAAAAACGCAGGTCAAAAACTGTATTTTAAAGTTCACTTCCGTCTTAATCGTCCACACGGCTCTATGTGTTAAAGTAGTTTGTTTCCTTAGACTACAGTTTTCGTTGTCGCTACACAGATTGGTGTAGGCCCTGGCTGTAGCCGCGGGGTGGAGTTGTCTGTCACTGCGGGTGAGGCGTCCGTCCGCCCGGGCGGGGCCGCAGAGGGAGAGGGCGGCAACACCGACGCCTTGCAGACCCGCAGATTGCGTTTTACATGTTGATTTTTTTTTCTTGTCTGGTCACTTACAGAGTCATGCGTTTAAAAATGTTTCTTTCTCTGTCTGATGTTTTAAACGAATCCAGGCAAATTCGACAGGGGCGGCGCCAGCCCGGCGGAGATGGAAGAGGTAATTTCTTGTGTGTTTTTTTTTTTGACAGCGAATACTTCAGCGTGAGTCGAGGTGGGCTTGCTCCACTCAAATAGCAGCGCTGTTAAAATAATGGGGGGTGGCGATGGGGGGGGTCGATTATGCGACTACTGATGCTTATCGCTGCCCACGGGGTATTGATTTCAGTCGATCACAAATTATAGCTGGGGTCGCATCTCGTCGGAGAAGGGTATGGTGGCGTGGAATGACTGTCCTCCGACTGGACACTGGTCCAGCGAGCTAGGCCCAAGTATGGGCTCCAGGATGTACAGCCGGGGAGAGGGTGGTCTCTGCTGGTGACACACGCATGAATACTACGTGTCTGGCTGTCTTGTCATTTTTCTTGCTTGCTCTGTTTTCTGCTGCGTGCTATCTGATGTGCCTCTCTTCATGTTCCCTCTCCTCTCTCCTTCCCTGCTCCTCTGTCTTGCAGATGCTGTAGTTGCCTGTCAGGGATTGAGTAAGGGGGTCTCTCTTCTCCTGTTTGTCCTGTGTGATGTTCTGGTCCTTTCCTGGGCTGAGCTGGGCTAAGCTCCGAGGGGGGGAAATATTTGCCGTCTTTTTCATTTGTTTAGAAGGTCTTGCTTCACCCCATACGTGTGCTTTATACCCCACTAAGCAAAACGGTTGCTTCAGTGTAAATTTGAACACATTCTTCATCAGTTCCGTGGCATTAAATTGCACATTCTTGCCATTGAGCTCCTGCTCAGCGTCAGAGAGTATTGTCCCTTCTGCCAGGTGTAGCATTCCCCTTGTTTCTCATCTGTGAGGTCAGCAGTTCAGTCCTTTGCTGGTCGAGACTGCAGGGTGTTTGCATGACTCTCCTGGCGGTTGAAAGCAGTATCTTCCTGTCCTGCAGGTTTTCCACGTACAACAGTGAAGTCCGCATAAAATGCGTAAAACTGGCTGCTGGAATTTTTCCAAATACACCGCTTTTCAATATTCAAACACGCTCCAGCAGACTCAAATGGAGAGCAGTTTATCTGTTCTTTTCTGATTGTCAGTTTCTAAGAATATGCTTCTTGGAGAACTTTTGCATTTTACCCAGTACTTACGTTCCCTGCCGTGCGCCGAGCTTGCCTGATTCCCCTGTTGTGTGTCCTGCGATGGCACGTTCTTGCTTTTGAAAATGTGTGTAGGAAAGGCCGAGCCATGCAGTAATCAGCACTGTTTTGCTTTCATTCGATGTGTTTGTGAAGAGCTGGCATGGAATCGAAGCGGGGAAGCACGCTGCCTCGGATATTGAAGAAAAACACGATGAATATTTAATCGCTCTTCAACACAGGAACAGGTGAGGCGTGACGGTTGTGCTGTGACTCTTTTGCCACCCAGTCTACTGTTACAGAGTCAGAGGGCGGCCGCTTGTCAAATACACCCCCAGCTGGCTGAGGTGACACCTTGGAGAGCCAGGCTCGCACACAAAATGTGGGGTGTCTGGGACAACCCCAGAAGAAAGCCGCCGTTGTCTACTCGAACAAATGTTTTCAACTTTACGGAATAACATTTCAGACATACTCATGAGACTTTATGTTCATTTTAAGATTTTGGAAAAACCTGAGCTGAAATCTCTCCTACAGTGCAGTGTAAAGCACACGGAGAATTCGTGCGGCAGCACGTGATTTCCCTTTGTGGGCCTGAATCTGTAGCGCTGGGTTGTCCCTTTCACCCGCCACTCCGGTCCAGCCGACTGCAGCCCTGCGGGGAAAGCAAGAGTCCCGTCTGCGACCAGCAGGTTTGCTCCTGCTCAGCAGTGCTGTGTTCCTGCCCGCCAGGATCCTGAAGCGCCTGAAGGCCAAGAACTCCAGGGAGATCGCGCTGGAGCGCTTGGAGCAGGGATTCTCCATTTATGTGAACGGCGCCAATTCCAGACCGACGGGGCAGCCGAAGAACCCGGGCCCCCCGCCCTGCACCCCGTCTGCCTCCAGAACGACACAAACGGCAGGTGAGCAGGGACGCCTGCGTTTTCCTCTGCCCACTTGGGTTTTGTGCATTTCACTTTTATCATCTTCCTCAGTCATGCTCCGTGCTTTCAAAGCCTGGTATATGCCGCGCTTTTCCGATCGGCTGGGTTCGGGTGGGAGACCTTTCTCCGAAGGACACCTCTCCTGTACGGAGCCGGAAGAGCAAATCTGCAGCGGGTGCTTTGTCTTGGTTCCCCCAGATGCATCTCAGAGGCGTTTCCTCCTGGAGGACGACCTGCAGGATTCGGAAGTGACGCAGAGGCGGAGAAGCCAGACAGCTCCCGGGAAGGTCCAGAGGAAGGAATGGGTGCAGGTAGAGTATCCTGTCTGTGAAAAGGCTCGTATGGATACGTTGGATTAAGGTAGCACGGGCTCCTCTTGCTTGCCAGCCTGTCCCCTGTCCCGGGTGTATTCCTGCCTGCGCTGGTCCTGGGATAGGCTCCGGATTGCCCCAGCCTGTTCTTGGGATTAAGTGGCTTTCTGCCGACGGACGGGACTATTATTCCTTGAAGCAGGTCCAGATGTCATTTTCCTATGGCTTGTTCCTGACTCGTGTGATGCCAAGGAATAAAAAACATTTGAATCTGAGACAGACGTCCCCTTGTATTCTTCTCTGCCTTTCTTCGTCTGTGAATTCAGAAGCCTGCGAGTGTGTTTAACGGTGAATCCAGTTAAGCGTAAAACCCTGTGTTTCGATGCACCATTCGTGTTTGTGCGCTGTCTTGTCGACATGCGTGCTGAGGTGTGATTTAGCATTCTTGATCATTCCACAGAATGACTTTGTTGGTGCGGAAAGACTGGTGTAATTTCAGCAGGAGAGTAGCAACTTTACGTTTACAGTAAGCTCCTTCACAATAAGCCTTTGAGGAGCAAAGCAATGATCATTTTCAGCTGCTGACATGCTTCTGGGGGATAATTGCTTATCTGGCAGCTATTCATTACTGTGGCAGAGTAGGTGGAGCTGAAGGGAGCTCAATCAAATGTGTCCAGTGCTTTAGAAATTTCCAGGATACAATGTTTTCCCCGGCTTGTCTGTCATTGTTTGGCAACGCAGCCGAGTGTAAATTATCCTAATTGCATTGTCATGCTCGGAGAGAGGAGTCTCTTTGTCACTGCTGTCGGTCTCCACTGAATTGAGTTGTAGAGGGCGGGATTATCGGGCACGATGGGTTCTAAAAGCTGCTCGTTTCCCTCACAGAATTCCATCCACATTAAGACGGAGAAGGGATCCCGGATTCGGATCGGTCCTGGTCCCCGTTACTCTGATGATTTTGAGGCCTACGAGAGTGTGAACATGGAGGTACGGTCTGCCCTGTGAGGTCTGACATGTGAAGTGAGGCTTTATTGCACATCTGGGTATCTAAGACACAGTCCTGTAAGTTAGCCAGACCTTGGCTTTGGGCAGTAGTTAATAGAGCGACTGTCTCTGGACGCTGCATGACCCAGAGGTATGGGATGTCACTAAATGTTTACATGCAGTGCAGTGTCCTTTCCTCTCTGAATATTTTACAAAGTAATGAACGCTCCATTCTGCGCCAGGTGATGTATAGCATTTACATGAAAGGGGGAAGTAGACGGATGTATCTCCATACAGTACGTCTTCCTCCTCTGGCAATCGCAGTGTGTAAAGAAAATACAGGAGAGCACACTGGTGCTTCTTTGTGATCAGTTCGGTCATCTGCTTGGATTGCGTGACGGGACGCGTCTTGCGCTGTGTTTGGCGTGTAACCGGGTTTCCTCCTCCTCCTCCTGTCCAGACGTCCGGTGCCCAGTCTCCACGGCGGGAGAGCTGGAACGTGCCCAGGGCCTTCAGCGCCAAGGCGGAGGCCCGGATGGGCAGGAGCGAGCCCGGATGCAGTGAGAAAGTCTTGCTCAACATCGATGAGGTCAAGGTCAGCACATCGCCTCCGGTGCCACTGGTGGATCCTACCTGTGACATTACTTTGAGCTCAGCTGTATTATCGGGGTTATCGCCGATGCCTCCAGTCTTTTCCTCAGGCTCGAGGAGTACCTTCTGCATGCTTCCACTGGATAGAGCTCTTCTGATTTTCTTAGCGTCTGTTCTCTTAGCTTTAGTAAATCACAGCGTGAAAAGCACACCAAATGTCTTTACATCTTGCAGCTCATCAGCTCTGTGTATTACATGCCCGCCTGTATCAAGCCTCAGCGCCGCATTTCTTGATCCGGTGCCCAGCATGAAGGCCACTTAACACCTGCTCTACTTACAGTTCCCATTTGTCACAGATATCATGTTGCAGAGCGAAGAGGCCATTCGGTCCATCCAGCCCATTTCGTTAGTAGCTAATTGATGCCAGGATCTCATCCAGCTATTTTATTGAAACTAACCAGGGTATCGGCTTCAACCACATGGCTGGGTAGCTTGTTCCACTCTCCCACCACCCTTTATGTAAAGAAGCGCCTCTGTTCACTGTTTTAGATGTTGTTCCGTGTAGTTTCCTCTTAGGAACCATCGGGCACGTGTCTGTTAAAGTTAACCCAGCGTGTGTCGTTAGCATTATCAAATGGCAGGTGGCTGGTGTACCGGACACCTGCTGTTATCACTTTGAACTGTCCTGTATCGGGCCAGGCCGGTTCAGGAGCGGGTTTGCTAAGTCTTGCCCCGTCGGTTCTGCGCCCCGCAGGTGCTGCGCCGGAGCCTGGAGGCGGGCGTGTGCGTGCGCCGGGGCAGCCGCGACTCGGCGGGGGAGGAGTCGGACGCCGGCGAGGAGGACTGGGTGGAGGAGCGGATCGAGGGGGAGGGGAGCTCGGCGCGGGTGGAGCAGGGGAGCGCGGCGGGGGGGAGCGTCCTGGAGCCCGGAGACCTCATAGTCCTCGACTTCGGGCCCTCGCCCTCAAGTACGTGTTCCAGGCCCGCGCCTTTGAGTCCGTGCTCCTCAAAATAGCATTGCACGGGAGGTGTTGTAAGGGCACGCTGCTGAAATCATGCTGCCCAGAGGACAGGCCAGGAGCTGACTTTGCCAGTCCCTTCCTGTCTAATTATGGCACCCAATCTGTGTCTTTCAAGGGCAGCTTCCCCCTTGCCTTTGCAGGTACCAAAAAAGAGCGACTCCTGTCGGCGAAGAGGCGGGACAACATCGACGCGTACATCCCGACCAAGCCCCTGATGGTGAAGGGCAGAGCCTGCGACAGGCCTCCCCGCTCTCCGGCCCAGGATCCTGCGAGTAAGGGGCTCCTTCGCCTGGCTCTCTGTCAGAAGATCAGCTGTGTGTTCTCCCCAGGTGCTTGGGGAGCTCTCCTGTTAGTTTAGCACATGCAGAGCTACACACTGGGGAAGGACAGAGGCAGTGCGAGGCTGGGAGTGTTTGTTTTCTGTCCATTTCTGTGAGGTCGCATTGCACTTCCTGACGCGACCTGGTTTCTAAATGGATGCACGTGGGCCCCGGATCTCTCAGTATGTACTTACAGCTGCCCGAGTGGGGCTCCATTGTCTAATTTGTCTGCTTGTCTAATCGATTCTGAGAAGAGCGTTGAACAGTGCTTTGCAGTAGGTTAACGTTTCAGTGTGTCTGTAAGGTCAGTAATGCGGTTTTGCTGTAAGTGCTGATTTAGCTGTGGCTGTGCCTGCTTGCTTTCTTGACACCATATTTTTAATTAGCCGGGTTTGTCATTGTCTGAGATGCATAGTAACCACGGGGCGGGGGGGGGGATCATATTAAGAATAAATGGGTATTTTCTTTAAACATTACAGTCCTCTTTTTCAATTGTTCTTTCTCGTATTGTTGCTGTTGTCATGTCAACCCTGTTAAGCAATCAGAAAACGGGACTAAGTGTTTTACAGCAGAAGCATTACCTTCTGCAGGAAGTTATGCACAAGCTGCACAGGCCTCTGCGTATTAAACAAATTCATTTCAGCATCTTGCCAGTATTTTTCTTCTGTTTTACTGGTGCCCGACCACTTGCATTAGAAATCCCAGCGGGATGCAGGATCCGCTCTTGTTTTTTTGGAAACGCAGCGCCCCGGAGCCGCGCGGAGAGGCCCCTTTCGGCTGCCAGGAAGCTGGCAGCGGAGGCCCCGGACCCGGAGGAGACGGCGGGCGCGGTCCTGGAGGCCGTGCGGAGAGAGAACCGACCCCTGCGCGGGGAGGGGAGGCCCCAGCCCGGACAGGAGCTCCCCGAGCACAGACTGGTGAGACAGAAATTGGGAATTGGAGCGGTGTTTCCAGACAGGGCTGTTGGCAGGACCCTCAGGGGCTTGGCTGGTGAGAAAAAGGCCTGCTTGTTGGGGGGAGTGCATGATTGTTGGGCACAATTCAGGGGTGTTCAGTTCAGCACGAGAGCCGAGCCAGGAAAGCCATTATTCTGTGGTGTCAAGGGAACAAGCGAGTGTCTGTGTCTCCTTTTACAGCCTTGCGTATGACCCTTTCATCCTGTCGTGATTAGTGCGCCGTTGCATCTCGCTGTCCTGTTTCCTGTTATTGCTGCTCAGGTGATGAATGGGCAGGAGGAGGATGCGGAGAGTGAGGTCACCAAGGCCATGAACAGGATCTGCCTCCTGGGGCCAAGGTATTGATTTATTGAGGCTGCGAGTTATTTCGTGCAAGACTCCATTCACACAGGGGTGAGCACCTATCAAAAGAAATAATTATCAGATGCATAGCAGGAGGGGTGCTGACAGAGGTCTTTTTCTGCTATGCCAACAGGTTTATTATACATTATAGTTATAGACATATAGTGTTTAGTTGTTGTAAATAGTGCCTGTTCAGTTAGAAATTGTCCTAATGTTGTGTTTTAGTTTAACATGTTCAGGATTTGATATATTTCATGCAGCAACACTGTGTTACTCTTGCCAGATCGTTTCAGTTCTTCATCTTCTGGTGGAATGCTTAAAGGCTAGCGCTGTATATTGTGGTACTGCTTTTCAGCCAGCAGAAAAAGATTCTAAAAGCCCTGGAGAGGATTGAAGCTGATTCAGCAGTGGCTATCCAACAGAAAGCTAAGTCCAGTGACAAACCAGAGGTAAGTGTTTGGCAATTCGATTTCGCGCTCCACAGTGATTCGTGGTGTATCGATCGAGGATTCCCATAAACCTCCACAGTGTTGCCCAGAATTCACCACAGCTTTGCTGAGCTCACTGGGGGCCTGAGGGTCTGCGGAGCCTGCTGGCTGCTCAGGGTTTTTTTTTTGGTCTTGACATTGCCCAAGTCATGAAACTTTTCAGAGGCATGTGGTTTAAAAGTTAAGGACTGTAAAATGCATGCACAAAAAAACAACTAGGGCTGGAGTGGGGATATTGAAACACTTCGTAATTCCTGTGCGCTGTACATGCAGGGTACATCGGCATGCCTCTTGTTTTAGGATTGCCAAGCTGCCTGTCACCCCTGTCCCAGGGGGCCTGGCCAGCCTGTGTGGGCCCAGAGCAGGGGGAATGAATGCTGCTCTTGTTTCCCTGGCAGAGAGCGCAGGCGAAGGAGGCCACAGAGGTGCCCGGCGCTCTTTATGTCACAATGGAGATATTGTCCAACTGGGGGCACTGCAGCGAGGTGGGCCTGACGGAGGTGCAGTTCTTCTGCCCCAGGAGCCAGAAGCTGTACGTCTCCCCACACGACCTGGACGTCAGGAACGCCAACTCCCCCGGGGAGCTCGGAGCGCTGGTCGACGGAAAAACCAAAGTAAGTGGAGAGACCTGCCCCTCCCTAGGACCCCCGAAAATACAACCTGCATCTTTCCGCGGGAGTCGGTGCAGTTACCGCTTGAGCAGGCGGATGCACGGTGTTTCTCTGAGTACTCCTGCAGCGGTTCTCCCTTGCAGAGATGAGTCCTCGATTTGTTCCGTTTTTAGCTCTCGTGTATTGAAATTGCTACACAATGCTTAATAACTAAATGGTTTAACGTGTTCAAGCTTTAATGTGTTGTAAGTAAATCGCCTCTCTTATTCCAAAATCGATTGATTCAAGCTGTACTTAAAATCTTCAGTAGTCTGGTACGGTGTTACTTGCCGGCTCGTTTAATTGTCATTCACCGGTGCGGTTTTTTTTTTCCCCCCCACCCGCGCTCTCCCGGGGAAGACCACAAAGGAGCGTCACATGTGGACCTGTCCCTTTCACCCCCCCGTCCAGCTGTACTTCATCGTGCGCAACCCGGGGCGCACGCGCGACTTCGGCGTCTCCAAGATCAAGATCTGGAACTACAACCGCTCCCTGGCTGTAAGATCGCCTCGCTCGCGCGGCGCGTGCGTCCGCGGAGCACCCCAGTTCGAGCCCTCGCCTGAACTCGAAGGCCAGGAGCAAAGCTGTGTGTGTGGGGGGGGGGGGAGGGGGGTGTGTCTTCTCTGGAAGCTGAGATGTGTCTGGTTCAAGCCACTCACTGCCCGGAAGTGATTGCTGTGCCTGAGACAGAATGTGGAACAGAGGGGGATTAAGGAATTGGATTAGAGGCGAGTGACCTGGGACTTCATCCTCTCCTGGTTTCACATAGCCACTGCACGCTGTTCTGCTGCTGCCGGCACTTTCGCTGTGTTTGGTGGCTGTAAAAGTGTTCTGTGACCACGTTCTCCTGTTTTATCTGCTGCCGCCCTTGCTGATGAGGTATGTTATGTGGCTGTGGGGTGATCTGGTCCTTTGATCTGCTTCTTGTAGCTGGGAATGTGTCTGTGTTGACGTTGTGCTGCAGCACTAATGAGTGCTGTAGGAATGAGACATTTCCAGGCTCTCTGCAGCATCTCAATGAGGATTTGCTCTCTCATCTAAGCTGAATGCACTTGTTGTTCTTTTAACTCTGAGCTGTTGAGAACTGGGGTGAAAAAGTTGGTCAAATCAGCTGAGGTGTTTTGCTTGACTATTAATCAATATATAAACGTCTGTGAGTGTATTTCTGTTATCACGCATTCATGCAGGGCATTCTCGTTTGCCATCAGGACCTGGACATTGGCGCCAGGAACGTGAGGATTTACCTGGACAGCACGCTGGTGTTCGAAGGGGAGCTGGAGAAGGGCTGTGGGAATTCGGTGTTTGACTACAGCACCACTGTCCCTCTCCGAGGCCCTGTGCAGGACCCGAGCTCTGCCAGCCGGAAGAAGAGCCCGGAGAGCAGCAGCAGCTCTGTGGGCGCGGACGATGATCCGGGTGACATAAGGACAGAGCTGCCGGAGAGCAAGGACAAGGCAGAGGGAGAGCCCCTCCCTGAGGATCTGACCATGCCGAGTGTTCCTGCCTCCCGGCCGGAATCGCCAGTGCAGCCGGACTCTCGGGATTCCACCTGGGCCTCTCTGTTGGCCGATGAGCTGCCGGCGACACGCCAGCCGGAGCCGAACGCGGGGAAGAAGACAGCAGATCGGGCTTCTCCGCGGACGCCCTCCTGGCTGCAGCCCCCGGACAGGACCAGGCAGGACGCCCCCGAGAGACGGAAGCCCCCTTGGCTCTCCGCGGACCTGCCAGCGGAGCCCGAACTCCTGGAGCTGTCCGGCCATCCGGGGAGAGTCCGCAGGAGCGCCGTTGCCAGGGGGAGCAAGACCCGGAACGGGGACCCGAGCCTCCTTTCGGACGCGGACTCGTCCGACCTGGGGCCGGGCTGGAGCCCGTCGCCGCTCGGCGGCGTGGGCCCGAAGCCGGACCGGCCCACCAGTGGCAGGAGGAGTGCCCCGAGAAAGGCGGCGCAGCGGGTGTCCCGCGACGGCACTGGGAAGCAGGGGCTTCCCGCGATAGGTAACTAAAATCCCGGAAATTCCGAGTTTCCGGAACGCAGGAGGCGTTTGCTTCCGCAGGCGGTGTCGGTTTGAGGATCTCGCTTCAGGGAGCCGGGCTTCTGCTGGCAATGTGCTGGTGATTGCAAGGGCTTGCACAGGGTCAGCCACTGCAGACCCATTGCTGACGGTCTCATTTGACCCCCCCTGGACGCCCCCCCCCCCCTCGATCACAGTGGGTGTGGGAGTAGAAACTGAAATTTAAGTTTTAAATTCCCCATCCTTTCGAGAAAGAGTCTGACATCAGATCACACTCGTCTTTCAGAGAGCAGTTATTCTGGCCGCGCTCCCTTCTGCTCTGTTTGGCAGCGAGCTCTTTTAGCTTGGCACTCGATGATAAATTTGCGGTTTAGTGATCGTCCACGCTGCTTTTCGAAACAGTCATGCAGCACTGAAATGATTTACCGCCTCCTCCTCAAGGCACGGCACTGCCCTGCAGGAACGCATTTCAGGAGTTCTCGATAAGCGAACGGTCAACGTTTCGTAATGTTCTGCATGTGCTGCCCTCAGAATGAACCCATTTACTGTACAGTTCAGGCCCTCTGCACACCGGCGAAGGCTCAGTATTGGACTGAGGGCTCCAGCTGCACTCTGCACTATTTATCCTCAAGACTAAGGCAGCCTCAGGCAATTTCGTCTGAAGCAATCGGATTATCATGCTCTGCTTGAGCACCCCGGACACCCAAATAATCCTGCTTTAGTATTGCTGCAGGTGGAAGACTCTTAGCGCGTTGAGTTTATTGTACTATTTTTTTTCTGCAGGAACCTTGTCAGGTATTGTGTCCTTTTCTATGAGAGTGTAACTCGGTCATTTTAAACCTGCTGTCCCTGCGTGACTGAAATATTACCAGTAAGTGACGCAGGGCGGCCCCATGCTGGGTGACATGTGGCAGCCATGGTGAGCCAGCAGCCTGCATACTGCAGATCAGGAGGAGCGGAGAGAGGCCGCTTCACCAGAGGAATTAAAGGGGAGCTTGAGTGAGGCCAGATGGTGCAATCCCGGAGTGGGATTGGAGCTGGGAATTTAATCTGTTTTGCAGACAGATCCATGGGATCTTCAAAGTCTAATTAGTCAGGACCTCAGTTTAATGTGTCATTGGAAGGATGGCGCATCCTGCAGCTCGGTGTCCCCGGTCACCGTATAGGGGGGTGGGATTAGAATTTGTGAGCCAGAGGGAAGAGCGCCCCCTACTGGTCCGTAGAGCAATCATCAGGTTTTCCTTAAAGCTCTCCTATCCCCGTACTGACCAGGCACAGCCCTGCTCTGCTCTTGAGATCTGGGAAGATTGGGCTCCCAGATGCTAATGCTGCGGCCAGATGTTTTGTATAAGACCAGTACATGACTGTTTTCCGGCCCATGGCTGTGTACGAAAGCAAGGAAATCAAGTGAAAATGTTTGCACTCTCGCACAGATGACCTGAATTCGGGGGTTGGAGGCAGGGCGCAGCGTACCCCTCGTGCCAAGTGGCGCAGCGAGCAGGACGACACCCTCCTGGAGTCCTGGGACTCGCTGGTGCGGTTCAACCAGTCGCAGCGCGGGCGCATCTCCAACACGGGCTTCGAGGGGGACGTCTTCGACGAGTTCCTGCAGCAGCAGCGGGCGGGGCGCCCCCAGGCCGGCAGGGCCGCGCCCCCCGGGCCGGCCGGGCGGGAGGCTGCCCCCGAGGAGCCGGCGGACGAGCCCCCGGGCGAGGCGGAGCGGGACGAGGAGTTTGAGATTCCCGTCCTGCCCCGGGGGCAGCGCCTGGTCATCAACATCCTGTCCACCTGGGGCGACAGGCACTACGTGGGGCTGAACGGCCTGGAGATCTTCAGCTCCACCGGGGAGCCGGTGGTGCCCGTCCGCATCCGCGCGGACCCCCCCGATATCAACATCCTGCCGGCCTACGGCAAGGACCCCCGAGTGGTCGCCAACCTCATCGATGGCGTCAACCGCACCCAGGACGACATGCACCTCTGGCTCGCCCCCTTCACCCCCGGGAGGTCCCACGTCCTCTCCGTGGACTTCCCCTCGCCCTGCCAGGTGGCCATGATCCGCATCTGGAACTACAACAAGTCCCGCATCCACTCCTTCCGCGGGGCCAGGGAGGTGGAGATGCTCCTGGACGGGAAGTGCATCTTCCGGGGGGAGATCGCCAAGGCGTCCGGTACCCTCTCCGGAGGTAAATCCGCTCTTCCCGTGGGAAGTACGATATTCCGTAACCCCCCCGGGCGTTGTTGATGCATTTTCCAAGTGCGAGCTTTGGGATTCCAGTTCTTGGGTTTACATTTATATCTTTAGTGGGCTTTACTTATATTATGTCTGTTGTGTCGCGTATGGGCGTTCAGACGCAAGCGAAAAAGGGCAAATCTTTTGCAGTAAGTTGGCTGCAATGCGAAACCTTGTTTGCTGATTTTTTTTTATGTTCCAGGGTTAGAAAGAATCGGCATTGATGAGTTCATTTCAAACCAACCTGCACTTATCCGCTCGTAGATCACAGCACATTAGTCATTACAGTGACTAGTGAGCAGGAAGGGCCGGTTCACGTCACAATTCTTGTGAACTCTTGCTCTCGCCCGTGGTGGGACCAGGGGTTTCGGACAACATGGCGACTTACAGTACCTTCACAAAGTTCACATTTTTGTGCTAAATTCTGAATTTTGCGATACCATCAGTGTATTTATTTTTGTTACCGAGATTTAATAACTTTGCACAATCCCCACCCCGTCCCCCTGTCCCCCAGCGCTAGACCAGTTTGGCGACACCATCTTGTTCACCACGGACGACGAGATCCTGGAGGCCATGTCTCGCTTTGACGAGACGTTCGCCGGCGAGGGAGACAGCACGGAGGCGCTGGTGTCCGAGGAGGAGCTCAAGCGCCCGAGGACGGCCGACGGAGAGGGGGAGGAAAGGCCTTTCACGCAGGCTGGCTTCAGAGAGGGGAGCCCACAGGTTGGGCCGCCGCTTTTAATGCAGGATTTGTTCGCGATGTTTGGAGCTCCTCGTGAGCGTGTGCAAAAACTGTTTAAGCGATGGCGAGGGGGGGGAATGTTTCGGGATATTAAATAATTTTTCTTTAGTCATTTAAACCTTGTGAGCACTCTAGAAATTGCCTTCGCTCCTCACCTTGTTGCATAATTAATCGGCACGCGTTTGTTTTCCTTGTCAGCCAGAAGAACAGCCTTCTCCATCAAGCAGCGTGCCTGGAGCGACCCCGCTGCAGGCTCCAGGGATGTACACTGGGAAGTGTAAGTGCTCCTGAAACACACCAGAGGCTATCGGCAGGAGGAAGCCCTTCAGCAGCTCTAGTCTTGCAGGAGCTAAGGGGTTGAAGGATCTCGTCCTTCTGTCTTTCTGGGGGGACTGGGATGAATTCCAGTTCTGTATTTTTGCTAAGCCAGCAAGCCAGTTGTTGCACCGCACATCGTTATAATGGTTAAAACACTGTTTATGCCTCACAGCGTTGTTGCTAATGCATATTGTTCTCATGCGAGTGTTTAACATACTGCAGGCCTTGAAATTAACTTCGCCATGACGTGGGGTGACTCCCATTACATGGGTGTAACTGGGCTGGAGGTGGTTGGCAAAGATGGGCAGAGCCTTCCTCTGACGATGAGCATGATAGACGCCAGACCCAGAGACCTGAACGAGCTCCCGGAATACAACCAGGACTCCAGGACCTTAGACAAGTGAGTGCCGGACATCTACTGCACAGGTTTACCCTGTTGTGTAAGAATTGCACATTGTAAGTGTGGTTTTCTTTCAATGATTCAGCCCTACTGCTCACATGTATGAACGTGTGTTTTCCCTGTAAAGGTAAGCCTAGTCACTTACCCTTATCATGAATCGGACCATTTTGGTCTTTAATCTCCAATGGGAACGATTTGAAGAAGAAAATCCTGATCAGTCTTCAGTAACGTTAAGTGCTCTCGTTCCTTGTTCGTGCCTGGTTTTTAATTGCATTTGCTCGTGTTGGTTTGGCACAAGTATTGTGCAAACTCTACCTTTTCACCTTTTCACACACTGGCTGTGCTCGTCCTGGCGGGTTGCCTTGCCTGCTTCTGAACCCTTCCCGCCCGCAGGCTGATTGATGGCACCAATATCACGATGGAGGACGAGCACATGTGGCTGATTCCGTTCACCCGTGGGAGCGAGCACGTCCTCACTGTGTCCTTCGAGAGGCCCGAGACGATAGCGGGGCTGCGCATCTGGAACTACAACAAATCGCCGGAGGACACCTACCGAGGGGTGAGGCCTGCCCCAGAGTTTCCCCGCTGCCGGCAGCCTGTGTTATGTCGCCACGGGATTCTGCACAGAGCAGTGACCTACATCTGGATGCAGGATGTCAATGAGACCACATTAAACCTCTGCATGGAGTCTTAGCCTGGCACAGTGGGTTGCTCCATAATCGGCAGGGGCTGTGGTACAATCCCATCGCACTCGTGCATGAAGCCCAATAAACTACTCACATTTTGGTATCGGGAGGGCTGCTGAGCTCTCTTGGGGAAAGGAAGGCAAATCTTTGGAGCCATTTTGCCTTCCATTATGTACTCTAATAGGGTATCGCCTGTTCTTCGGGTGGGAAGTGAACCGTCTTTTGGCTGCTCCTCTTTCTGGGATGGCTATGGCGTGCCGCTCAGCTCGCCTGTGTGTTTGCGTTTGCAACGCAGGTGAAGCTGATCCACGTGAGCCTGGATGGGCTGTGCGTCTCGCCCCCCGAGGGCTTCCTGGTCCGGAAGGGCCCGGGGACCTGCCACTTCGACTTCGCCCAGGAGATCCTGTTCGTCGACTACCTGCAGCCCGCCGGCGGCCACGCGGACCGGCCGCACTCGCAGCAGCTCGGGTAGGGCAGGCCGCGCGCGGGGTCGGCGCGGGGTCGGCGCGGGGTCGGAGTGGGGCAGAGGCACCAGGAGGAAAAAAAAAAACGGAAAACAAATTCACCGCTTTATGGCGAGGTCCAGGCCAAGGATAAGAAAAGGCAGCTTTTGACAGGGAGACTAGGGACTAGAAAAGGAAACGAAAAGGCCGCTTGAAAGCGCAATCCAGACTGAACGGAGGAGAAGGAAAGGGCCTGAACACTGACGCAGCCCCGGCGTGTCGGCCGCCGGCTGAGGCCGCCGTGCAAGCGCTGCATTCAAACAACTAGATAGCACTTGGGTTTCTCTGAAGGGGGACCAGTGGAGTTTAAAAAAAAAAAAAGAGGGGAAAAAATGCTCCGTTGTGTCACACGCGTCTTGCCTGGGGTGACCGCCCAGTAAGCGTGTGAGTGGATAGACGTGTGTGCACAGTAGTTTGAGTAGACCCTTGCTCGGCTGTGTCGGTATGAAGCGAGCAGCAGTGCTATGCTATACGTGGGGAACGGTAGGGCCGTCTTCCGGAAAGACCAGGTGGCATTCCTTGTTGTTTTGTTTTCCGCAGAAGTGGCTCCAAAGCCGTGGAACAGGCCAGCATGGATTATGAAGCTCCCCTGATGCCCTGTGGATGTATCCTTCAGGTCTTCCCACGGCCTCCTTTCCGATCACAGATACGGGGTGGCATTCCCGAGCCCAGGCCTGCTCGATCCCCTGCTCTTTACTGTCTCGGTGCACGTGTGGTAAAGACCAGAGGTGTCCCCTATCCCCTATCTTGTGATCTTGTTAGGTCTAACATAGTCCACCGAGGTCTACAGGTTTAATACCCCCTTGGTTCTTTTTATTGTTGTTTCCTCCATCGTCCTTATACTGTTAAGTAAAAAAGAAACGCAGTGTTTCTTTTCCTTTCAGCATGGAATGAACCTTTCCGTGTTCCGTAACGGCCTAAGCGTGCAGCTCCCTACTCAAACCTCTTTGTGCAGTGATGCGATTGCATCGCCTTGCCCTACCCACCAGGGGGGGCTAGAGGCAGGCCTTAGAGTTTATATTCTGGCACCGGTGCTCTTCGCAGCCGGTCTGGTCTTGACTGGGGTCTGAGTTGTGGACAATCCAAGAAGCCGTTGACATCAGATGGATCTTTTGACGATGCGGGGGACACCCTGGAGCAGCTGAGTTCACTGCTCTGAGGCTGGAGCTGGGGGATCAGAAACGGGTGCGCTGCTGTATGACCTGCAGGTGTCATGCTGGCCAAACTGCTGTGGAGGGCACAAGCTAGGAAAGTTATGGCTGCACTTTTCCCCATTCATCCATTTGGCAAATGCATTTTTCCGAAGCCACGTGCCATCAGACCCAGTCAGGGTGCCAAGGGAGCACACTTCAGGGCTGCAGTGTTTCCTCTCTTGCAGGTGTGAAGTGTTTCTGTCCTTAACGGATTCCTGCCAGTTATTTTCCAGCTGCAGTTGCTTACCACCTGGGGTGACCCCTACTACGTTGGCCTGAACGGCCTGGAGTTCTACAATGACCGCGACGAAAGGATTCCTCTCACAGATAACAGTATCCTATGGGAAAATATGGAAGCCTGTCGTGTGTGTGGTCTGTGTGCAGTAGGTGAATGCCTAGTTATGGATGCCAAAAAGAGACGAGGAATTTTGTGCTGCCTTTCCACTCTTTGTCGCTTTTAAACTTGGCTTCACCTCCCCTTGATCCTTGGTCTTTCTGAGTAAGCCTCAAACATGTGATAGACAATGCCGTTTTCCAAAAACTAAGATGCTGTAGACTTGTTGGTGTGGAAATTGAAGCTGATCAGAAGGAAAACTGTGCCCGGAACTGCGCCAGCACACTTGACTCGTATGCTCAGACATTGCTGCCTTCCCAGACAGCGTGAATGTTCTGGACAGCGTTGCCGGAGACGTGCGGACTCCCGACAAGCTGATTGATGGGACGAACAACACTCACGACGGGAGACACATGTGGCTGGCTCCTGTCTTGCCTGGCTTGGTGTGGAGCCTTTTGGATTTTGTTCCAGTGTTGTGGTTCGGGGTCAACCTCCTAAGGAGGAGCACAGAACCTACTGCCTCGCACATTCACTGTTTTATGAATCATTTCTTTGAAATTGCATAATTTAAAACGGTGGCCTAAAATGCTGTTATTGCTTTCACAATGCGGGTAGCTCACTCTCAGAGTTGGCGTGTTTTTGTTTGGGAAGTCCCAGGAATGTGCTGCTAGCCATCTTCATGACCGTCTTCATTTTCTTTTGAACAGGTGAACCGGGTGTACGTGATTTTTGATAAGCCCGTGACGGTATCCATGATAAAACTGTGGAACTATTCCAAAACGCCACAGAGAGGAGTGAAAGAATTTGGGGTAGGTAGGCCGATTTATCATTTAGATGTATTTTTTTAAGTTAGCAGTAGATTGAATAATAACAAAACCTGTTTGAAAGGAGCTCTCAAAGGTTGAAAGTTGCTCCCTAGAGATGGGATGACTTGGAGTTTCTTATTCCAGTTACTGGTGGATGATTTGCTGGTCTACAATGGCATTCTGGATGCTGTGACCCATGTGACCCGGGGCATCCTACCCACCTGTGACCCTGTGGTCCCCTATCACACCATCCTGTTCACTGACAATGCCAAGATCGCCTACAGGGAGAGGAACACAGTCATAAGGTATGGGGCTGCACTGAGGGCCGGAGCCCGTTTCTTCCTTTCATCAGCCACGAACGGGGTCTCCTATGTAATGCCGTGTTTTTGCTGGTTAGCTGCTGTAGATTCTTCATCTGAGGCAAAGCCTGTTTTCTTGCTGCTGTCTTGAAATCAGCTCTGTTTTCTCCACTCCAGCCCCCAGCCAAACAGGACTGAAGAAGAGTAAGTAGTGAACGCAGCAGACCTGTTTTTAAAGGGCGCGGTCTACGCCAGCTGAAATCCCTTCGTCCCAGCCAGCCCTGTTCCCTAATGTTCACCACCCCCCGAACGTTTTCTGAGACTAATCAACCTCGTCTTGCTCCCATGTCCCTCATCTTCCCCCTTGCGGAGGCCTGAAGTCTAGCTCTCCATGTGCTTTGTAATCGTGTGAGAACTGCTTGTTGAATTTTTTTTTTTACACAGTTTGATTGTCACCCCCCCCCCCCCCCCCCACCCACCCAGTGGTCAGTAGAACTGTGCTTTGATGTTTTAGGTAATCACAGATAATTTCAGAGATCAGGTCAATCGTAAAACCTCTATTTTCTTTTTTTTTGCAGCAACTATGTTGAAGACCAGGATGTGAGGATGACGAATGAAAATGAAATAGTTCAGCACACTAAGAAGAAGCCAACTGCAGATCCAGGTGAGAGCTGCTTATACTCTCCCTTGCAGGACACTCTGTCCTTGGACAAATTCACAAAACTGTAAGCATATAAAATGCTGTCGCAGGGATTGCTCCTTAAGAGTCCTGGCTGTCACAGCGCCGCGGGATGAATCCGTGTCGCACTCGGCTAGCGCAGTAACCCGGGCTGGATCCCGAGACTTCTCCATCACGGAGCTCATCCTGTGCTTGGAACAAACACTCTTACTGTTTGGGGAAACTCCAGAGGACATGCTCTTCTTAAAAGATACGCATGGGGAGACCTGACGGAATCGTTCTTGATTCCTGCTCAATGTCGCTCCTGGAGCTAAGGCATCTCTTGGCTCTAAAGATCCTGAATCTGGTATTTAACAAGTGGGGTGGCGACTGCTTCCGTCACTGCATGCGTGCTCCAGTGTCTAGCAACGCCTGTACTGTTCCATCTGTTTGTAATCGACGCTGTCCTTTTCCCCCGTGTGCTTCGATTGAGGTGTTCATCCAGTTGAATATTGTCTTCTCCTCCTCGTTGTTCTTCAATGTGACTGCAGCACTGCGGCCGAAGACCTGCATGACGGACCGAGGGCACATGGGCAAGAGGCGATACTGAAGGGCACCGCGACCCCGCGGGGGCAACGTCCGGCAGCAGACCAGAGCCTCCGTGACCAGTGACCCTTGACACCTGACATCATGCCCAGTGACGCAGGAGAGCCAGTGCAGATGAGTAGGGTAAACGCTCCCCCAGCCCTATGAGCTCCTCCGATTTTAGTTACTGGATTAGAGTCCGAGGCACCATTTGACTAAATGTGCAGGGCAGGACTCATGGAGCTCAATTCGCAACCACTGCCAGTTTAAGGGAAATGAGTACCCGCTTACAGAAACGGGCAGTCTCTCCCGCAGAGAATCAGGTTTGATTCAGGGGCTCAGACAGCGCTCATGTGTAGCTGGCTCTGCATACTTTAGCGTTGTTTGTATCCTAAAACAGCCCTTTCTAAGGACCTTTGCAATTCATCAGCTTGTTGGCTACAAAGTGGAAATCCTCCAGGTGCTTTGAACTGAGGCTGAACTGGGAGTGATCACCATTCTAGCTGTCAGGGCTGCTCAGTAGTTCCCACTACATCGGGGTTTGTAAGTGATCCTAAACCGTCAAGACGTGAAACTCGTCACTGGCTGGTTGACTGGGGTCAGGAACGGACAGCTGTGCTCCTTAAGAGCCACCAGGCATTGTTTTTTTGTTTTACTAGATCTCTAAACTACAAATTGGATAAAGCACTGGATTTAGTGATCAAAACTAGGTCATCAAAAGTGTTTAAAAATGGATTACTTCAGGATGACCTCCTAAGCCTGCTTGGTTGTGATTGGCCAGCCTTAATCGAGATGCTTAAATTTGAACCGCATATAAATTCCGCCAGCTTCACTCAGCCCCATGTGTTTATACATTTCCATGAAATGTTTTAATTATGAAAGTGTTTATTCACGAGAGCTTGCACATTATCTATGCGAACAAAACTGGTGAGATTCCCTGGTTTAATGCGAACAAATCTAACATGCTGCGTTCATTATTGCAGGTCTAGAATACTTTCCATTTGCAAATAAGTAGCCTTAACAGAGGAGTGTCCCTGAATGCTGAATCTTCTAAACTTTTGCTGCAAATTAAGTTTCTCATGAAGCTCTGCTACAATTAACTCATTTACTGGAAACAAGTGTCACTGTTTTAAGCGCAAAACTGTTTACTACGAGTTTGAATGAATTGTTGGAACGAGAGTTGGAAGACCTGGCTCTGTCAGTACTAGTAGTGAAGCCCATCGGTGTACTTTTAAAGCTAGAATATCCATAGGCAGGGTTACTGTGCTGGAATGGGGTTTGCCCTAAATAAGGAACCAAGTCAGAAATCATAAGCAAAATGTATAGGCTTTCAACACAAGTGGAGTATATGCATATTATAAGACAGTTGGTAGGTAAAAAATAACTAGTTAGAAAAACAACCGGGAGACTAATCACTGATTTGTGAACACATTGGTGAGTCTTGTGAAGTTAATTCTAGCATATTTAAGGTGTAGTATCAAAGTTTGTCCTAAAATGAGATTCACTGAAAAAATAACATTTTACTGCACAATCCACACACCCAGAGAGAAATCTTACGTGCCAATCTTTCAGAGCTTTATTTTTCCTTATCCCACGGGAGGTCGTTTTCTGTCAACAGCCAACAACTTGCAGTTCTTGTCAGCTACTGTCTGGACTACAAAACACCCAGCATCTGAGAATCATCCTTCTAGCTGTATATAGGAAAGTCAGACCCCCTTTTGAGAGAAGTGCCGTCGTTCTGCATGTTTTTACTGGAGGGCTGCTGGGAATAACCCTGCAGGGTGAAAGGAATGGGGAGCTTTATTTTTGTTGCACAAACTGTACATTTTGTGTAAAAAAAAAGGTTTTGTTTTTTTATCACTTCGAAAGAGCATTTATATTAAATGTAGTTTTACTTTTGTTAATAAAAATGTTCTAGCCAACACCACTGCAGTGTGTTTGTTGTCTGCTGCACGGCTGGTTTCTGGAAAGGGGCCAGACTTTCGGTTGCATGGTGACCGAAGAGTTCAAAGCACAACACAACAAACGGAGCTTCATTTCTGTAGGATTTTATTGCCTGAGACTACAAGGCTGGAAAGCAAAAAAATGAAGGAATCTGTACAATCCTCGATGGCCGTCGTTCACAAGAGGGGCGCTCGGAATTTCTGGAGGACCAGTCTGCACCCATTCCCTTGTCCCACACGATGGGTTTGGACACGGCTTCCTATGGAATGCTGCTCAGATCTTTCCTGGGAAGTTTCCTTCCTCTCTTTGTTCATCCCATTTAGTTACCTGCAAGGTGGTTGGGGGGGAACCACTCAGCATTATCTTGGCAATTAATACTTGAAAGACTTTAAAAAAAATGAACATCTTAATCACTGGTGGTCAGTAATTGCTAGGAGGAAGTTATACTCCAGGAAGCCTCACAGCACTCACCCAGGACACGGGGCACAGGGATTTATACACTCGCTTGTACCAGTCGCATGGAGTGATGTCAGCCCCTCTGGCCGTCAGGGCCTTCTGACAGCGATGGAAATCTACAATTGAGACAGGCAGAAAACAGGGGGTTAAACTGGGCCGAAGGCTGGAGGCTCAGGTCTGCAGGAGAGGGCACCCTGCCTTTCCTCACGTCTCCCTCCCAGCCCTGCATCACAACCGGGCGGAAGCTGCCGCGCCCATCCTCTCTCTCTCTCTCTCTCTCTCTCTCGGCTTTGCATCTTGCGTGCGGCTGGGATTCACGCAGGAAGGAAGCCAGAGTTACCCACCCCACGACGTCGTTCCACGCACCCACCACCCTTGGTGGGAAGCAGGGCCTCCAGTCCTTGGTTTCTAAAACTCAGCTCCCCCACCTGTGTCCCCTGGTTCCACTTAGTGCTAACATTACGGTCTAGTTGAGCTAAATCTAGCTACGCAGGTACAGAAAAATGAAGTGGCACGTTTTTCAGAAGCGGCTCCTTTGCATCCATTTGCTACATCCCATCCTGCTATATTCGCCTCCTGTGCAGCTACAGGCATTCCTGCAGTGTGTCACTGTACATCGTCTGAGCCCAGCGGCAGCTGAGAGGCGCGCAGACAGAAGCCAGTAATTTAATAGAGCTCAGCTCCAGGGCAGGCACACATGACCACCCCTCCTCTCCTGCGCCTCTGCAGGCAGGCGGGGCAGCGAACCCGGCTCGCTTACCCAGGTAGTTCTGCCAGCAGTTCTTGGTCTGGTTCTGGTTGGGGAAACGGGCGTCGAACGGCGCCGTGCGGTACCGCTCCAGCTTGTCCTTGATGTCTTCCGCCATGTTCTGCGGGGGGGGGGACAGGGAACGAAAGTCACCGAGCGGCTCGGCGGGATGGGGTCACCGGGGGGCCGGGAGGAGGACCCGGCCGTCTCAAACAAACCGGGCTGGACTCTCGAGGGCTCCGGCGACGAGCAACGGGAATACAATTAGGTGCAAAGCAATGCGCTGGTGCGGCGGAAATACAGACATACTGCTTTCTAATAGGCTTTCATGGCAGCTCGGGAAAGCCGTGTCGGAAGGGAAGCACCGAGGCGGCCTGTCCAGCCGGGAGCTCCCCCCGCTGGCTGTGCGCACCTGCCCCCGGTGAGCCCCAGCCCTGAGAGGCCTCGCCGCCATCTCTGCAGACAGGTCTGCCGCGTAGTCCATCGCACGAATGGTTTCGATCTCCCTTCCGCCAGGGTGCCGCGGCGCTTCCTACCCTCGCCTGCACGTAGCGCACAGCCGGCTGGGGCGAGCCTGCAGACACGACCCGTCCCCAGGCGCCCGGGACACCGCACGCCGTCCCTGACGGACACCGCCCCCCCC